GCCTTGCGCTCACGAAAGCCGAAACCGACTAGTCCACGACGGAAAGAAATGCTTAGCCATCATATGTGTCATAGACAAGTTTAAACCCTATCTTTAAAGACGCCCATTTAGCGTGGTCACAGATCACCACGCTTTATGCTGACTTTCCTCCTTAAAAGATCCCCGCGGCCGACTTGCTCGTTGGGCACTACGTCTGCTGGAGTACGACATTCATGTAATTTACCGGTCTGGACGTAAACATTCTGATGCCGTCGCTCTGTCCTGGTCACCTCTTCCACCTGACGATTCCTCCCCGTCTACATCGTTCTATGACGTGTCCTCACTCTTTGTCACTGACATGCCTCTGGAGCAACAAAAAGACCCCTGGGTCGCTTCTCTTATAGATTTGTCAAGTCGGCCTCCTTCGCACACCATACCTCAAGAACTGCGGCAGCAACCTATAACTTTGTCATTCGAGATCGCTTGCTCTATTGTCAGAATTAAATTTCCGAACGGCGAAGATGGCTCTTGGTTATTCCCCGACACCATTGGTCCAATATATGCGCATCTTTTCATGCTGATCTACACTGTGGACATGCGGGAATACTTAAAACTTATACATGTCTGGGCCGCCGCTACTATTGGCGTGGAATGTGCCGCTTTGTTCGCCGCTACATCCGCTCCTGTCTCGCTTATCAACAGCGCGAAGATACTTCTCCTCGGTTTCCTGCTCCTCTACAGCCTCTACCTTACCCTACCAGACCGTTTGAACGTGTGGGAATTGATATTTATGGACCGTTACCCATCACTCCTGCTGGGAACCGATATATAAACGTAGCAATCGATCATTTACGCCATACGCAGAAACTTTACTTCTGCAATCTGCGTCAGTAACTTCGGTTCCTATATATTACACCACCTCGTTCTACGTCATGGTGCACCACGTGAGCTACTCAGCGACCGAGGGCACGTATTTCTCTCCGTAGTCGTCGAATCATTTCCAAAAGAATGCCGCATCATTCACCGCACCACCACTGCATACCATCTTCAAGTTAACGGCCTGAGAGAATGATTTAATCGAACACTGGGTGATATGCTGGCAATGTACGTCGACTCCGCTCACTCAAACTGGGACCGCATTCTCACCTTCGTGACGTTTGCACTTAATACTGCGACTGAGACCACCACGGCGTTCTCCCCATACTTTCCACTTTATTTACGCGAGCACTCCTGCATGCTCGACACCATAATTCATTACCGTAACGATGCAATTGAGGCAACAACCATTTCCGAAGCAGCTAAGTACGCGGAAGAGTGTCGCCAGCTTGCTCGATTCCGCACCACTTCTGATCAACAACGTCAGAAACACCATCGCGACAGCTTCAGGGCTCTAGCGTCTTATATCCCTGGTTCACTTGTGTGGCTCTATATCCCTTCATTCAGCCCCGGCGCGGTGGTCTAGTGGCTAAGGTATTCGGCTGCTGACCCGCAGGTCACGGGATCAAATCCCGGCTGCGTCGGCGGCATTTCGGATGGAGGCGGAAATATTGTAGGCCCGTGTGCTCAGATTTGGGTGCACGTTAAAGAACCCCAGGTGGTCAAAACTTCCGGAGCCCTCCACTACGGCGTCTCTCATAATCAGATCGTGGTTTTGGGACGTTAAACCCCACAAATCAAAATCAGATCCCTTCATTCAGCCCTGGCCCATTATCAAAACTTCTTTCGAAGTACCAGGGCCCTTACCACGTAGTACAGTAATCATCACCAGTCAGTTATATAGTTGAGCCGCTGGCGGCGTCTCCTGATCAACGACGCCGCGAACGAGAGACAATGCATCTAGACCACCTCAAACCTTGCTACAACCCTACTGTAGTCTCCTGTCCCTAAGTCGCCAAGATGGCTCTTTTTCAGGAAGGTAGATAAATGTAATGAAGAAAATCAGTGCTCTTCCGAAAGGTAGAGGGAACCACTATCAGGCAGAAAGACGACGACGTTCGTAGTTGATGCATCGCCATGCTAGTACCTGCTCGGCTGTTGCCCTCAAAACTTCTGCGACGAACCATACGGTTTATTAATGATGTTCTGCACCAGAACGCTCTAATATATATATATATATATATATATATATATATATATATATATATATATATATATATATATATATATATATATATATATATATATATATATATATATATATATATATATATATATATATATATATATATATATATATATATATATATATATGTGTGTGTGTGTGTGTGTGTGTGTGTGTGTGTGTGTGTGTATATGTATACACATTTTTGTTCCTGCCCTCGGCAAGTTATCTCTTCACCCACTCCTTCTCTTTCTTCATATTTACATTACAATTCGGTCTAATAACTTCCCCTATACTTTTTGGGTGTTACTGTCTGTTAGATCTCATTATATTGTGTCAAAACACGAAAACGCGATCCCTTAAGTATACACTTCTTTTCCTTCTCCATTAACGAGGGTCGCGTACTGGTAGACGTAATGCCTGAGGTTGTATACGACGGACTACTGTTCAGCTGCCAGCTCGTAACATGCTCATGTGCTACGTGACGCCACACAGGCTACTAAAGAGTGTTCACTCCCTGCTATGGCTACTGATGGCGCTGCCTAACACTCCCACGTTTAAAATTCACATATACCCAATAAAGTGGCTGGGAGGATAGCCACCGTGGTAGCTCAATGGTAGAGAATCAAACGCGTTATTCGAAGGTCGTAGGTTCGGTTCCTGCCCACGACAAGTTATCTTTTCGCCCACTTTCTTCATATTTACGTTACAGTGTTGTCTAATAACTTCCCCTATACTTTCCTTGGCAATATTGTCTGTTATATCTCAATAATAATGTGTCAAAACACGGAAGTGCGAGCTGTTAAATATACACTTACGTTTTTTTATTTCACAGAGTTTCGGGAGGGGTCCTTGCTTCGTCAGGGGAAGAGTTAAACTAACGTCTGCGTTCAGAATTTTTACTCATCGCCTTCCTTTCGCCCTGAAAGATGTTTGCGGGAGTGAGAGGAAAGTAGGAAAACTGAAAAAAGATCGATGTTACAAAAAGTTTTGAATTAACGAAGAAGACCGGAAACAACAAAACCACACTGTGCGCAGCCAAACGTCAGCGGAAGTAAATATTTTGTTCTGATCTTGTACTGACCGGCTCTCGATGCGTGTCGGGTCACCCAAAATTGTCATCGCGCTAGACGAGAGGAGCCGGCGCTGCCGTTCGTGAGGAGAGAGTTTCCTCTAATTGGTCAGCTTTTCACCTTCCATCTCCGCCTATTTTGTGTCAATTTCCTTCAAGTAGTAAAAGAGCCTAAGCACTTCAAATTGTACGGGGACGTACAAAAGAAAGAAAAAGAAGAAAAAACAAAAAAGCAACTTTGCACGTACGAGCCAATCAGAAAGTAAGCATGGTCTCAAAATTGAACTAAATAGAAGAATATGAATGGGGTGGAGCACATTTGGCAAGCACTCTCATATTATGACAGGTAAATTGCCCCTATTTCTCAAGAGGAAGGTGTATAACAGCTGTATCTTGTCAGTACTTACCTACGGAGCAGAAACCTGGACACTTACAAAAGTGTCCAGCTTAAATTGAGGACGACGCAGCGAGCAATGGGAAGAAAATGGTAGGTGTAACCTTAAAAGACAAGAAGGGAGCAGAGTGGATTAGGGAACAAACGGGGGTTAAGGGTATCATAGCTTAAATTAAGAAGAGGAAATGAACATGGACCGGACATGCAGCGCGCAGACAGGATAACCACTGGTCATGAAGGTATAACTAACTGAATTCCCTGTGAAGGCAAGTGGGTTACGGGGAGAGAGAAGGTTAGGTGGGCAGATGAGATTAAAAGTTTGCGGATATAAATTGGCAGCAGCAAGCACAGGACCGGGTCAACTGGCGGAACATGGGAGAGGCCTTTGTCCAGCAGTGGACGTAGTCGGGCTGATTATATATATATATAATATATATATAATATATATATATATATATATATATATAATATATATATATATATATATATATATATATATATATCGCACCATTTGGACGGTTCGAAAACTGTTTTTATACAAAATGTCATTTTAGGTAAAAACAAGCTGCATAAATCTGAACTGAGCCTTCAATGGATTAAAAGTTTACACTTTTCTGCACACTATTTCCGCCGTCCGGAAACGAAGGTGCATGAGTACTGGAGAGGTTTGGCATGCATAGACGTTGATCGGATTAGTTATTCCACACACAAGTGTTCAAATAGTCAACACGTGGCCGCCCCACCACGGTGGTCTAGTGGCTAAGGTACTGGGCTGCTGACCCGCAGGTCGCGGGCTCGAATCCCGGCAGCGGCGGCTGCATTTCTAATGGAGGCAGAAATATTGTAGGCCCGTGTGCTCATATTTGGGTGCCCGTGAAAGAACCCCAGGTGGTCAAAATTTCCGGAGCCCTCCACCACGGCGTCTCTAATAATCATATGGTGGTTTTGGGACGTTAAACCCAACATATCAATCAAGCAGTCAACACATGGTCGTGTTACATAAACAATCGAAGGTTGGCCAGACTCCGCAAAAATATTCACTGGAACTCGAGAAGTTTGGGTGGCATTTCATCGCTTCAATACTATTATGAGGCCTGCTACTAAGAGACAGAGTACTGTGTCTGGTTATATTTGACGAGGTACTACATAGCAGGTGGAAAAAATCTGAGAATGGTGGGCACTAACTTGTTGTACAGTCCCCATATATATATATATATATATATATATATATATATATATATATATATATATATATATATATATATATATTGATTACACACTATACGCGTTAGAGCACTGAAAAAAAGCCTACTCAGCCTTCCGCATCACTTTCCTTTACGCACGCTTGCAGCTCCTGTGCGCGTGACTACATTTATTCACAAAAAATGATCACGCCATTATTCCTTAAGATTGGTCAAAGAAGATTTCATGCGTTCTTCTTTCAAACTGTGCAGTCCGACATCATGTCTCGACAACTACTTGCTTGATGGCTGCTCCCACGAAGAAATAATGGAGTTATCTGCTCTTCAAAGAGCAATAGAAAACGTGCGATCGGCTGCCTGCGGGGACAATCAGAAGCTTCTGAAGTGTAAGTAAACGTGTTGCACGAGCTGTCATTGTTAATATTGTACTTGGTTTTTTTTGTCAGTCCACGTGCTTTCATCCTGGCGCCCCTTGTGCAAAAAGTTTTGTCGCACAAAGCCGAACAGCGCGCATAAAAAAAGCGTATATTTTTAGCAAGTTTTCATTGATAGGGAAAATATAAGAGACTAAAAAACGTAAGGACAAGCCATCGCAGATGATCCTGAAGATTATTATGGTTTTCCAAATTTTCCATGTAAACAAGTAAACACTACGGTACACTAAACACTATCTTACAGAACAGTAGGCTAGCGCACCAAAAACGAACCAGATGTCGTTCGGTGGATTTGGGCCACACAGTTGTCTCGTCCAATGTGTGCTCCCTTCGATGACTGCTTGCCGATCCTGCCCTCAGACTTTTCTGAGACACCTTATGTTTTATTTTTCTCTTAATCTTTACATCTAACTCTATCTCTTTTCAGTCCCCCTCATTCGTTGCCATGTGAGCTACCGCTGAGATGTCACCGTCTGATGCAGAAAGTTGTGGGGTTCACTTTTACTTTCAACTTTCCTATTTAAAATTTTCTACTCCCCAACAAAAAAAAGGGGGGGGGGGGAGTGAACCACCGAAATAAGTAAAGGTGATGGTAAGTTGCAAGCTTAATTTTTCGATAAAGACCAGTAAATGTAAGCTGATTTAGTTTATCTTTCTCGCGTAAAATCAAAAATCACTGCAGCTCCACACACCTATAAGAGTAAATTTTGCAAGCGAATGTAACTGTGATGTCATCTGTGTAAAATGAGCTCTAGGCAACGCACACACATATACTGACATGTGTGACTGTGCACTGACGTGCGGAAACGTCAGTACATAGCCGTACTTTTGTTTAATTCCACATTCAAAATTATTTTAGATCTAAAAAACATGAAACCTGCTAGAAAAGAAAGAAACATTAGGTGCCTTACTACTCATAAGTGTGCATGACTGCATAAAGAAAGGTACTATAAAAAGTGGCCACACGAGCAATTTTGCGGCCCAGCAACAAAGGGTCTGAGCAACCGCTTGATGGCGTACCCATGATAGCTTCTACTCATTTTTCAAGACATGTAATAGCCACCTCAGAAGGACATTCAAAACCAAAATTGGCACCCAAATTCTGCAAAGAAGAAATCTTATTGATTTGTGCAATTTTTTTATATCCGCTCTGTATCGTGTCCTGCGGAGGACGTTCAATGCTTTACCACAAAAATCTGTATTGTCTGACTAAAAATTGTTGTCTTTCTGCAGTTGTTTTGCGAAAAGGGTGCAAAATCATGTGGTTTAGATGCACTGTAGGTTTATTCACTTGACGGAAGCATGAGTGTGCCGCCTAGGTGATTCCACTTCGGCCACTGGAAGGTTACCGTGACACTCTGGCCTGCGTGCGACTACACCCGGAAGTTGTTGCTTTGGGGGCGTCTAGGATGAGCTACGTGTGGGCGGTAACGTTCAAAACATGGACACTGTCAAGAAGATTCTTTCTCAGGGCAATATCAAGGTAAGAAATTGTCACTGTCTGATCATAGATCCGGCAAACCAAGATGTGCGTATGAAAGTGCATTGGCTGCTGCACAACGTTCTTGATGAGGGTGTGCGACGCACGTTCGAGCCTTAAGTTTGAGTGGCTGACGTCAGCAGGGAGTGGTGGCGTGTAAAAGGCACCAGCGAGAAAGGCTCCAATACCCGCATTCTGACACTTCGGTTGAAAGTAGCCGTCGAAATTGATGACCTGCCTCACCAATTGAACGTAAGCGGTGAGCATACATTGGTGGTTGTTAGGCGCAGTCGTCCAGTGTGCTTACGCTGTCGAGCAAAGGGGCACATACGGTGAGATTGCCGTGTCACACGCTGTGGTGCCTTCCGAAGATTTGGCCACGAGGAGAACGAGTGCATGCATTCTTATGCCAGTGTCACCGGACCCGCGAGTGGCTACGACCACGATGAGCTGTTAACGGACGAGCGTGAAGCTGAAGAGGCAGCGAGCACGACTGCGAGAAAAGAACAAGTGGCACCGGCATTGGTGAAACTAAGCAGGGTCAGTAGGATGGACAATGAAAAGTTCAAGAACAAGGCATCCAAACCAGAGCCAAAGAATCCGGAAACGACAGACAAGCCGGAAGCCGGAACAGCTCCTGCCGACAGTGAAGGCTCCCAGTGACGCAAAGACACTGCAAGATGACATGGAAGTCAGCGACAGCGCCGGCTGTGGACTAGATGAAAAGCCACCAAGAGACATTGGTGGTGAAAATTCGACTGCCTCGGGAGACGCTGGTCGAGGATAACCACCAACAGAAACCCCCGGAATTAGGCGACCAGCGAAGAAGCAACGGCCGAACTTGCAGACCATTCCACCGGCAAAGGACAAGCAGCCTTCGCTAAAGCCTCCTGGGACTTCAGTTTTTGGGCTTTTTTCCGGACAGAAAGTAACCCGTAAAGGAGCGTGATTTGCACATTATGCCTTGTAAAAGCTGGATGGATTGCCGCAAAATTTGCAATAAAGCTAAAGCTTTTTTGAGAAACGTTTACCTGAAGTAGACACTGTTGCAACCACGGTTCGCGGCACCAATATCTGTCTCTTGACGTACGCCCGCTCCCGCAAATTCTATCGCGGGCGCGTGCTTAGGTCAAGTGACACATGCACGCACCCGCAATACGTGCATCGCGCTTCTGTCACTCACCTTGCAGAAACGCGATTCCGACTGTCATAGCAGATGCTCATGCTTGAATAACGCGCCAGCCCATCAAACGTGAAGAATGTTTTGGTGAACGACGTGGTTCCGAATGGCATGGCAGCCACGTGCAGCGAAGTAGGCGCCAGTCCGGCCTGCCCATCTCATGTGAAGTGCCTCCTCGTCGACCTCTGCACAGACGGATGCGCACGAGTGACTCGCTAGCTACAGCAAGGCAACTAATACGACGATCCACGTCGCATTAGTTGCCTTGCTGCTGTCTGTGCTGGAGGCATCGCGGAGGCACGTTGACAGTCAGAACCTCTTCGCTCATTGAAACTATCACTGTGCTATCGCCATCTTATTGAAACCCACTCGCTCGCGCCCTCACCGCACGGTAGCGATCTATGTAAGGCACCGAAGTGGTGAGGGTGCTTCCGCACGATGGAACAGCCATAAACACTTCTCTGTGTTTTCGTGACTCCGCGACTACGTCAGTGACTGTCGGCGTGTCTTCGAGAGATTGGCGGCTGAGCGAAATTTCGCCCCATGTTTTTGCTTCAAACGACCACGAAGCGAGCCATCTTGGGGGGTTACCAATGCCCTCTCTGAGGCTTCCGCGGCGTCTGAATAGGCAGCTCGAGCACCCAACGGAAGTCGTTTCTTCGGCACCCTATTGTGTATCCCCAACCCTGTCCCTCGTTACCATGAATTATGTCGGGGGCTGCACTGCTTAGCCGGACAGGAATAATGGCAGAGTGGGGAGCATGGCTGAAAATGAGGCGCAGGTGTGCAAGTTAGTCGGTCTCGCTGCGTCACCAGCACGTCACCTTCAGAGACAAACCAATAGCGTGCGAGCGATCCTGACGCTGACGCTGGCGTCCTCTTTGAACTCTTTCTTTTCTCTCTTTCGGGCGGTGCGGGACCAGCAATTTCAAATACGCTACCGGGGCACGAAGACACCACTTGTCGCATCTCTGCGTGGACGCGAAAAACAGCGGTGCTCCGTAGAGTAATTTTAGCCACGCAGTGCCCACTACATGACAACAGCAGGGCGTCTCGGCGCTGCTCCTTATCTCCACAAATTGAGGCGGCTGCTTTTCTTCTGTTTTGGCAGCCGCGGCAAGAGGGTGGCCCAAAAAATGCAACACTCTGTTTCGTACTCTCGAAAAGAAAAAAAAAATATCATGGCTTACAATATAGGATCAGCACTACGCGTCGCAACTTTCAACGTTAAAAGGTTACGCTCACAGAGGCGACAGTATCAGTTACGTCATTTGTTTGTTGAAAATGACACTGATATTGCCACTCTAAAGGAAACAAAAATTGAATCTGAAAAGCAGATGGACACGATATGTTCAAATTTCCGCTCCAGCTACAATATTTGTGTGAGTCATTCTGTAGGTCCTTCAGGTGGATGTCTTTGCTATATAAATAACACACTTGGTATTGTCGAAAAAAGCGTACACTGGGGTGATAATGACGTATGAATAATTGCGTGTGATTTTCTTTTTTCTGGTGTGAGTTGGCGCGTTGTTTGCGTATATGCGCCAAATAGACAACAAGCTAGGAATGTATTCTTTGAAAATCTTGATATGTATTTATCATGCGAGAAGGCAGTTATATTTCTAGACGATTTTAACTGTGTGTGTAATGCCGAAGACAGGGCATGCGAAACCCCTGTACGTAACTATAGTGCCTTGGTGTTCGATTTGATGGCGCGTGAGTGAGTCAAGTAGGAAAAGAGCTACTTCACAAGAAACGAAATAAGGGCAATAGAATACAAATATGAAGTCACCACAGATAAATCCCAGATTGAGGACGCGTTTTTGGAATATTTCCAAGACCTTTTCGGGGACGTCAGAGAGGACATGAGTACGCAAAGTCGGCATTTCTTTCAACTTAAGTTGAAGCTTGAGGAAGACGTAAAAGCGAGATTAGAAGCACTCATATCAAGCAGAGAAATTGAAACTACAATTGAAAAAAAATGAAGAACGGAAAAACACCCGGTCCAGATGGACTAAGTGTAGCATTGTGTAAGAAATTTAAAAGTCTTCTGGCAGAAGCTTTGTGGAAGGTGCTAGACGAGGCGTACTAAAGGAAAGAATTATTATTATCTTTTCAAAGAAAACACATCGTGGTAATCCCGAAGACACAAGATCCTACGATACAGCTGTCCGTCACATCCTACAGGCCAATAACTTTAGCGAATTTAGACTATAAAATATTCATGTGTACTTTAGCCAGGCGGATCCAAACCATGTATAAGGAAATACTCGGACCACATCAGACCTGTGG